TTTTGTCCCTGTGCACAAGTTTTTGAACAGTTGCATTCAGGGTTCTTACCCTATTTCTGTCACCTCTTACAGCGTACAGTCTTTCCATTTGTTCTTCTTTTGTCTCTGTTGCAAATTAATGGAACTTGTCTGTAATTTGCAAGCTTCAAAAGAGCAAGTTATCAGAAAGCAAGTTGTCGAAAGGCAGGGGAAGCCTGTAGGTGGCCCTTTGCCCTGTATATCAGAGACTGTTTCCTGTCTGCATTCTTATCTGGTATAACATCTAGCATCTACAAGACTCATAGACAAGGTTAATCCCATTCAGTCTTTTGATATGGGTTTGTACAACAGTGGTGGACAGTCTCCCTTCTGTCAAAGACCTCATTCCCTTGGGAGGGTATTTATTAATTAAAATGTTATATTCTGCCCTATAGCCAAGGCTCTCAGGGTACAATAAAATCAACTGAAACAATTGAAAACAAATGTAAAATGCTGAAAGATAATTAATCCATTTGACAAGATGAAGCAAGCTTCAACAATTAAACTATGTGCATATACAAACTGGGGGGAAATAATGAGAACTAAAGGCTTTAATGTAAAAATGTGCTTTCATTTGCTACCAAAATGAAGCCAATGCTTGTTCCAAATTGAGACTCTCAAAGGAAGGTACCACAACAGGGAAGACAAGAATATCTTGCCTCCACTAGGCAGACACAAGAGACCACAATCCTTGGGCAGCTATATATGGAATAAACTTGAGATTGGCTTTCTGGGAGTCAAAGTGAGCCACTCCATTCCCCCCCCTGAGAGCACAATTTCTCTATCTTTTTGGGGGGGGGGGGGACTGCTTCTTGTCACCACCACTCTAGTTTTTCTCTGTTCTCACAGACTGCTGGATGAGAACAGGTAACTATTACCAGTACCTTGGATAGGTATTTAACAGAGGGGGTTTATATTATAACAGGGGCTCCCTTTGGCCCTAGGCCTTCATAATATGCCATAGAGATCTTCTGAAGTCTACTAGAACAGAGATGTTTATGCTGTAGATCAAAGTCCTTCATGTACCTACACAGTACATAGAGCACTATGTATGGGCCTCTACAGACGGGCCCTTTGGGCCATCCTGGAGGCA